ACTCACTGTTGGATGAAGTAAGTATTTGTTTCGGCCATTGTGATTTTTGATCACGTAAAAACCAAGGGCCTACAAGCCATCTACTTTTCTTTTTCAATGCTTCAGGAATAAACTGCGTACCAACATCGGCAGGGTTTAATTTACTCGGGACCTAACGCCATTCCAAAATCGCAGTGATCTCACGGATTTTTTTCAAACGATTAGCTACATAGGTCTTATACTCACGTGGATCTTTTTTAATCCAATATAACACTGTTTTCGTATCAGACCAAAACATTTTATTAGAAATTCTAAATTCATACTCCATTTCAATAAATTTCGCGAGTCTGTAAGCTAATACCGCAGCTTGTAATTCCAGTTTTGGAATCGAAATGGGTTTTATTGGAGTTACGCGACTTTTCGCAGCAATTATTGACGTATGAAACGAGTTCTCGGATAATTCAAAACGCCAATAACTAACAGCCGCCCATGCTCGCGAGCTTGCATCACAAAAGGTATGCAATTTGGACATGACAATCTTTTAATCAAGAGGTCTGTAACAACGATTTATTTGACAAAGTTAAAATTTTTCAAACGCGTGTGTTTGGTGTTGCAAAACCAAACGGATCAAAAAGAGTCATGATAGCGTTTAAAAACTCGCATTTTGAAGGGACTTTGTTTACATCGAATTGAAAATCTTTGTTACTATTATTCTTTAAAAATACTTCGTCGGAATTGCACAACCATTGTTAGCCTAAAACTTTTTTATGTACTTTTTCACTCGAATTTAACGATATTTGAGATTTTAAGTTTGATGTTTTATTTTTTTCGAAAGAAAAATTGTTTGCCCAGCTGTGCCCAGCTGTGCGGCAGGGTATTTTTCAATGAATTCTTTGGCATTCAAATTTTTAATGAAAAGAGCTAAGCGTGGGGAAGATTTTTCTCCAAAAAGTAAAGAGGTCATTACAAATTCTTGTGGTTCAATTGATCGATTTCTACCTTGCCACAAGAAGCGTTGAGCATAGCGATCCTCAGGTCTAATTTTGATTTTGAAAAACATATCTCGAAAATCGGCTTTGATCGCGAAAGGTTGTTGTCCAAGCCCCATAATTACGCCTAGTAAATTTTTAAGTAAATCTGGTCCCGTAAGAAGCAAATCATTAAAGCTTGTTTCATTTGTTTTTGCGGCTGCGTCAAAGACAAGACAAACTTTACCGGGTTTATTTATATTTTGCACCCTGAAATGTGATAAAAACCGTAACTTTTTCGAGTAAAGGTTATCACTTGCTGTTTCAGCATAATCATTTTTAATAAATGGTCCATTTCTTTGTAGTATAAATTTGCGTATGTTGCGTCGCAATTAAGTTTTTTTTTCGAGAACTTTGAGACGGTAAAAGGCGGTTGCGCGTCCGTCAGTGTTTAAAATTAGATCGGGTTTCCACGGAAGGCCAATTTGCCATTTGTTATCTTTATATTGACTCGTTTCAGAGAAAATTTCCAACTCACGTTCGTTATTAGAACTTTCACCGTGTCATTTGTACTGTTATTTAAAAAATCGCTTTCAAAGCACTCTTTGTTTTGTTTATTTAGTTCGTCATTACAATCGCAAGGTTTATTCTGATTTTCGACCTTAATTACGTTAACGGTACCACTTTGATGTGCGAAATTTGAAGAAAATTGACCATGCATACACCAACCTAATAGAGAACGTGAGACTATGAGTGTTTTTTCCTTCAATACCAAGACCCCTCGTGTTATTAGAAGATCTATTTGATCTTGCCCGATCAATAGTTCGGGGATCCCTAATTGAATTTTTGTTTTTGTAGCGCAATATTTAACTTATTCAACACTTAACCATTGCTTGGGAAGCGCGAGGTTGTCTATAACTAATATAATTTTCAATGTATGGTAAGAAGAATCAGATTTTAACTTAAGGTTTGTTTTTCTCTTCGAAACTGAAATAGCTTTGGATCCTATTCCTTTCAAGACGATATTGATATTCGTACTTTCCAAACCAATTTCATTCACAACCTCTGAGCTAATCATTGTGGACGTGGAACCTTCATCGAGAAAGGCTAAAATTTCTTTTGACAATTTTACGCTGATTAACGTTACAGATATGATTTTTAAATATACACCCAAAATAGTCACAACGTGACAGACTTTGATTGAGAATTTTCCGAATAATTGCTCGTTTTAGCCTCTATTTGAGTGTTCTTACGATTTTCTTTTTCTAATTCTACGTCAGAAGGGTGTAATAACGGGTGGTGTCTGCGATTGCATTGTTGACATTTGCCATGTTTATTACTCGTAATGCATATTAACAAAGTTCCTATAATCTCGTAAAAAATATGTTTTCATTTTTCTTTAAAAGATAAGTTGTATGAACAAAAGTACTTTTATGTATCGTAAGAACCAGTTATTTGTCTCAGAAAAACTTGATCTCATGTTTAACGGGAGTCAGTATCCATTGCCACAAGAAAAGGTCCAGGATAACGTGGGATCTACAAGTAGTAGGTTTTGGAGACTAGATGAGGAAGAAATGGTAGAGTCGAGATCCAAGCTCACAATACCTGTAAGCAATAGCGCAAATAAAATAATCAAGACATTAAATGAGAAAAATATTTATTATCAGTAAATGATCAATTTAGTTATAATTAATTACAAAATACATTTCGCTTATAATAATATTGTTAACAGTTGTTACTAAACTAAACTACTTATACATCGGTTAACTACGATAAGCGCTTTCTCATACTAGAGGCTATTGATTTCTTGACAATAATGCAAATGATCTACGCTACTATTGATTGAACTAGAACTATTTTATATTGAGCTTAACGATAGTTAAGAATGTTAGATGCATTCAACATAATCATTTTCGATCACTTAAGGTAAAGGCACTAGTTACTGGCTGCGACCAGTACCTGGCCACTTTAAAAAATAATTTTGAAAAAGTGGTGGCCTAGTACTAGAGCACTTGTACATAAAATGTGTACATAACCTCACTTCTGCGAGCACTAGTAGCCGACCACCTCGATATATGTACATTTAGCATGGGGTGGCCAGTTACTGGCTCTTAAATTTGGGCCGCTAAAGCAACCTTTTTTTTCAGTGGCCATGTACCGAAGCATCTGACATACTCAGATTATTATAAAATATTATTGTCTACGGTCGGATATACGACTTCTATTTATCGTATAGCTTAAAATACATTCATAGCTTTCAAATGATACCTAACAGAAGTTAAAGTTTTAAAAGCTGTTTAAAATGTATGATGTTCTTTTGATAACAGCTACTAAGTGGCCAGTAACTAGTACTTTTACCTTATCTGTACATCGAACGAGCTATGTTCATTGGATGTAATGCGTTGCCTGTTAAACTAACCTTGCAGAATCGGTGACTTATATAATTATTTACTCAAAAACCGTTCATTTTCGGGTGGAAACTTGCGCCTGTGGAAACTTTTCTTCAGAAGATCATTATCTACAACATATATTAACTTCAGCCAATTTAACCTTAGTCCTTTGTGACATATTTTAACTTGAAAAAGTTACCATACATTCTTTAGATGTTTTGTTATCAAATTACGGAAAACTTTTTACGTTATCTTTTGTATAGTTTTGCCAAGAAACAATTTAAGATATTGTTGAGACGTTTCAGTAATTTTACAGCATAACACTTTAGATATGTGGTAGTTTTTTTGATTTGAAATATTTTGAAATTTGACTGTAATTGCGAAAAAATTTTTTTCATGTAACTTCATTCAATAGTAAAACTTCTTTTACACTTTTTTGCGATTAAAATGTTATAAAAAAATGCAGTTGATTTGCAGAATATTCAACCTGTAGGAAATTTGACAACAAAACAACTGAAAGTCGTAAAATGTCTCTAATATTAATAGAAACGGAGCTATGATCGAAAACTAAATCATGTGAGCATTATGCAATAAACATATTAATTGTGAACAGCGTGGTCAATAATCCTTATAAAATGTTAAACAAACAAATGGTTTCAGCTTTTAAGAAACCCAAAACTATTTTTTTCATACCTATCGAAAGATTCTACATAAGAATAAGTTTTTTTATCTGCCTAGAGTAAAAATTTTTCGTAATAAGTAAAAATCCTCTCAAAAAAGTCTGGTACTAGACTGAGATTTAAACCTACAACCCCTTTAGCCATGTCGTTTTTTAGGTTAGCATGCAAATAATTGAGCCAATAGTGTGTTCAAGTATACGTCGATTAACAATCATCTCTGGCCAAGGGTCTTTTCTTTAGAAATTTTAAGCCACTGCTGGAATTTCTTAAAGGTGGTCCAGAGAAAATTAAAATTTCCTCCCTTATTAACTTGATCGATCTGATTATATAACTTTGTAGAATTATTAACTTAACAAAAAGCTAAATTATCTACGAAAAAGAGGTTCACACATGCCAAACCTTCGCAAGATTTATTGAAAATCATAAGAGGAAGTCAAAAATCAGATGTATAATAAAAAATGCATTATCTGATTTTTCGTCATTATTTTCCAAATCACAATTAATCTCACGAAAATCAGGCTTGACATATTCTTTAGAATTAAGAATTTGCAACAATTCTGTCTTTGTCAATGAATTGCATTCAAAATAATATTATAAAAATCGCGCCACTCCACGTAAATTTCTGCAGTTAGTCTACATTAATCGTATTAATTTTTTACTCTACTAATCGTTAGCAATTTTTTTGACTTACACTAAGTTATTTATTCAGTAAATTTTTACGGTATATAATTGCTAACTCACATTTTTTTGACACCAAAAAAAAATTCAAAATTAATTTTAGTACAATCCATTGTAGTTTGAGAAAGAAAGATAAAATAATCAGATCGTGCAATGTTCTATTAACTATTGTCAATATCGTCAAGTTGGGATTGTAAGCTTTCGTTGGAATGACAAGAATATACGTCAACACCTTTTTCTTATAAAATAGCTGGTTATTTAACAAATAATATTATAAAGTTATAAAATCAGATCGATTCATCTATAAGGTAGAAAACCTCAATTTTTTTCTGGACTGTCTTTATAGGTTTTATGTAAATCATTTTGAAAGTCGCCTCTTTGTCAGTAATCATTATTAAAACATTTTTCAGCCATTAAAAAATGTTTAGCTATCAGCCGTGACGGAAGGCATCTTGGATCTTTGGCTGTTTTTAAAATGTTTTTCTATGTCTAAAAAAGACTTTCCTAAAGTTTCTGGTACAAAAATATAAACAAAAGCAGCACTTATAAATGAGGTAATACTAAAAAATAGAAATAAATTATGCATTCCTAATCTGATTTCCAAGTACGGGAATCCTTTAATCATTCCAAACATCATTAAGTAAGCGATAGACACCATAGCTCCACTTATTATTCCTCTTACAAATATTGGTAAGATTTCACCTATCAATGTCCAAGGAATAATTACAAATCCGAAACAGCTTGAGCACATATAAAAAAATACATTTATCAGTGGAAACCATTTTTGTTTAGCTATAACTTCAGTGACGATTTCGTTTTTGTTATAAAACGAAATCAGAAAAACATACATTGCTGAAAAAAACATAGAAATAGCCATTCCTAAGGTACTGGCAAGACAAAGTGCGCGTCTTCCAAACTTTTTACTACAAAAAGATGTGATAATACTCATAAAAAATCGTATAAAGCCTAGAATTACGACTGCACCGTATTTGTTGATTTTTCCTAACTTTTCCATGCTTTCAAATACTGAAAGAGCGTAAAATACAATAATATAAATTCCAGTCAACTGTTGCAGTAAAAATAGTATGAATAAAATAAGAGTGGGCTTATAAACAGTTGGAAGTAGTAACTGTTTAAAAAAGTTCAAACATTTAGCCGAAAGATTATTATTTCCTTTATAATTTCTTTTGTGACTTCGTGTTGCTTCAATAATTCTTTTATATTCTTGCTCATACATCTAAAAAATAATTTTAAAAATATTATACATAATTTTATAAGTACTCCTTTGTTTAGAGTATAAAATAAAAAAATTAGAATCATATTCACATAATGCTACTTACATCTTTAGACTTGTTTAAACGTCGTAGTACATTTTCTAAGATATTTAACTTTTCATTTAAATCTATATTATTAAAACACATAATCCAGTAGGGACTTTCAGGAATAAATAACAATAGAAATATAATAAATATGTTAAGTATCATAAAAAATATTGCCATTTGTTTCCAGGTTAGCCACACTCCAAAGCAATAAGTTATCAAAATGCCAAAAGATACAAATATAGAATTGAAACACAACAGCATTGGCCTGATTTGTGGATGTGCTATTTCTGATATATAAACTAGGCCAACTGTTGATAATCCTCCAGATATACCACTGACTATTCGAGCTGTATAAATTAGATCCAATGATGGTGCTCTGATTAAGATTATCCACGATAGTAAACTTGGTATGCAAGAGGCTATACAAATTTTTTTACGGCCATACATATCCATCAATGGTCCAGCAATAATTGACCCAAGAGGCAAGGATATAGTAACTAAACTAGCTGTTGGGCATAAAAAAATAATATTATTTACACGAAAAAAACTATTTTAGTATCAAACTACATACACATGTAATCGTAATCGATATAAATAGTTGCATTATGAGAAAATTAACATCTTAAGAGTATAATACTTTTATACCTATCCAAGATATTTCGTCTACTGATAAAAAGAAGTCCTTTTTTAATCCATCGTGCAAAATTGTACCGTAAGCCATATTTATCCCAGCTTGAATAACAATCAAGTGCACTGTACATCCAAAAAAAATCTGTTGAATAATAAAGACAACCTTAGCGTTTTGAGTAAAAAAATTTTAGTGTTCAAATTGATTTATACCTGTGGAAAAAAATTTCTGAGTGTTAATTGACAACGGGTTGATTCGTCAGATGAATTCGGAAGGAACTCGCTGAAAAGTATATATTACGTTTTTATACTGTAACACAACTTGAATATTTTTTATTCCTTCCAAACTTAAAAGGTACTTTTTAATATACACTCATTCAATAGTTTTAATACTAAAGCTAAAGGTGTTTTTGAAAATTTGAAAATCGTCAGGGAAAATAAAATTCTTAGTTTCATCAAATTAATTTAACAACGCCATAAACGATACAAACCACAATACTAACTCGGGACAAAACGCTCATAACAATAACACTGCAAAAAGACCGTATGTAGAGAGATCACGAAGCAATCCATATCATCGGAGAGTTCAGGGAGCTCAGATAATTCAATCCAAGAGATCACAAATCAGGAAAATGAATATACTTTTTATCAAAAACTCTATAAGATTCTTAAGCAGATATCTTACTAGATACAATAACAAAAGGGGGAATTTTAAAGATAAATCAATCAAAACATCGTCAAACCAAACTTAAACCAATCAATTATATGAATATGCAAGGAAAATTACCAGTCAAGGCCCAACGTTTAATACCTATGGTATATCCAGCAGTCTTTCTGATTGATAACCAGTTTGAAGAGAAAGTGATTGATGATAAGAAATCGGATACCATTACAAATGCTCGCATTTAAAAATATCCTATTTGCCATAAAAGTCAGATCAAAAATTTGTCTTTAGTAAATCTTGAAATAAATACAGTGTTTGAAGATTTAAGACGGACACTGCTAGTAGAATCGCATAACGGGAATCTATTAACCAATAAGAGTTGTATACGCCCGGAAATAAGTATTAAAATAAAAGGTGTCCAACTAGAGGTATTATTAGACACAGGGAGTTAATTAACACGTTTATCTGAATAAATTTATGAAAAATATGATGATACATTAAAAATTGTTCCTACCCGTTCGGTAATTAGATTCCAAGTATGTGGGTTTATCGGTGAAGAACTACTCAAAGACAAGAAACAATTCAAGGCCAAAGTAAAAAAAGATACTTGTAAAATCGCACTCGGAGCCATATTATGCAAAGAAGACAACGACAAAAATTAAAGGATCCAGAGTCTACATGGCGAGTCAACCAATAAAGGTGACAGAGAAAAATTATTTAACCACAGAGATTGAATTATCCAACCTTATGCATCAATATATGGGTGCGTCCAACCCAAGTGCAACACGTGGCGTGTGCAGCACCTTTTTCGCATCATAGAGTTCTTTTCAATTCGCTTACAACGGAGGGGAAATAGTTCTAAAAAAATGTAAAAGCATGACTTGATCGATTTTCACCTACTTTTTCAGATAGTACAGATAGTTTTTACGTAAAAATTTTTTTTCTAAATCGATTTTGAAATTAAGGCTGTTTTTTTCTTAAAGTACGTGTTTTTTTTCTTAACTCACATTAGTCAAAAGCTTAACTCTTTAACTACAGACATGCAAATTTACAAGTTGGGACCTGTAAGATAGCGGGGTGAAGTATAGTGCTAGTGCGCACATATGTCAGTGAGTGCTGGGTGTGGTACTGTTTCAGAACTCGTTCATACTCCAAGACAAGTAATTAAAAAAATAAAATAAAAATGCGCAAATTGAGAGATTTGAGTGTGTTTTTTTTTCACAGTGAATTTTTAATAAAATCAGGTGTGGGTCTCGGCACCGCTGGTAAAAGTGAAACTTCCAACTCAAATGTTATGAAACTCGGTTTAACAAAAACTGAGAAAATTAGAGTACACCTAATTTAAATAAGTTTTTAAGAATCCGATGTTAAAATAGTAAATATTTTGATATTATTAAGTATTGCAAGGATACACAAGGGTTGAATTAACCAACAACTACCCCTACAATTGATATACATGCATATGTTTTTTTCGCACTATTATACATCTGCTTAGATCATTATTAATTGTTTCTAAGATAACTGAAAACGAATTTATTAGTACTATTGTCGTGCCGTTCATCATAAAATAATTGATGAGCTGTGAACGGGTTGAAATAGTACAAAACTTTTCCTATCTTGAATATTGTTGGGATAATTTTAAGTACATTACTTCTATTTTTTTTGTTTATCTGTATTTGTTTTTAAGGGAGTATACTCATAACAAATTGACCAGGAATTAGGTGTGATAAAAAGCGAAATCGTACTTCTCCCCTATACAGGGGAAAGATATCGTAAAACAACCTTCAAATAGGCTATTCTACCTATTATACAGGTAACATAAATATCGAGTCAAAATGTTGAAAAAACATAACCTAGAATTGCAAAAAATACTGGATTTGAACATATTTGAAATTAGTCAACATGACAAGAAATTTATATTTCAAGTAAACCGCTATTATTGCTTAAAAGTATTTTTTTTTTTTTTTTAATCTAAATTTTATTTTGCCAAGAAATTATTTCCGTGACCAAGATATAACAATTTGAAATTTATTTCCCACATCTGAATGTTTGCTTCCATATAGATCAATGCAGTAACAAGTTTTATTTTGTTATACTACGGTAAAAAAAAATATATGTAGATCATTTAATACAGAATTGAAAAAAAATGTATTGCTAGTAGCTTTTTTGATAATAGATATTGTGGGGTGTAAGATAACCTCAATTATGTCGAAAAACAGTGGTTTTTGTACTTATTGGTTAGGATGTTTTAAAAACCTCACATGACAGAGCAATTGTAAAGCCAGATTCAAATTTGGTGCACCGGAAATTTTTGTAAAGTTACTGGTACATCTCGCTTCAGCAACCTTTAATATAATCATAGATAAATGTACAAATAAATTACAAATTTGTTTAAAAAACAAAAATCATTTTTATAAAAGGGTTGCGTATGGCTTACTTTACCCCCGTACTAAGCTTAATGATACTTTTCTGCAGTATTTGGTCACAAAATAATTGACTAATTTGTCCTAAGCGTGGTTAAAAATACTTTTAACAAACTAACAAAAACGTTGTTCTTTCGTGTCAAGTAATACGAAAATATGCTAATTTAGGGGTGGTTTTGTAATATGAAAAAGCCTGTATAGCTTAATATAAAGATTGGACAATGTATTAAATATTTGCATTGCTTATGGATTGATTTTCAGTAATCATAAGAGCAAATACATACAAACTTGAAGGTACAGAAGGTGCAACATACATTATAAGAAAACATTAATCGTAGGGAAAGCTGTATATTATGTCAACCCATGTATAGGTTTATAGACATTTTTTCAGAATTTATGTTTTGAACTGCGCGTCAAATTGTTTTTGACAGTAATGTAGTAAAAGCTTAGAAGAGAATTATTTGTTTCATCTCCGTAATACGTTCAATAGCCATTAAGAGGTTGTTTTGTTAACTTTTAACTGTCTGCATCATAATATTACCCGATCGTTTTTTTTCATATCGAATTTGTGGTTTGTTTCTTCTCAGTAAAGCCTATAATAATTTTATACAAAGTAAAAAAATATCATTCATTTGACGAAAAAAAATACTGAAAATTAAAATTTTGGGGAGAGTTTCAAAATTTTTCAACCCTTGTAACGCTAAAGAGTTCTTTTTTCCAGCACTTGGTCACATCACAACGGGTAAATTTGTGATGTATAACATAAATTATAAACTAAATCACAGAATTATTATTGATTTATTTTTGACAGCAAGAAAATTCCAATGTTAAGGGTAGTTTTGTATTATTTTAACCCTTGCACAATTCCATATTCATTTCACGATGAATTGCATGACAACGGTAATAATAAATTCGTTTTCAATCATCTTACAAACAACTGATGACGATCTGATCAGAATTATAATAGTGCATAAAAAAACGTATGCATGTATATCAATTGTGGGAGTAGTTTTTGGTTAATTCAACCCCTGTGTATCCTTGCAGTGGTGTTTTGGTACTTTTCGTTACAAAGAATAGGTCAATTAGTTATTAGAAGTAATATACTGCAAACTTTAAGGAACGTACTTCACTTGACTTTAAAAACACCTAAATTTAACTCTTGTAAAGGTTGTTTTGTTAAATTTCTCACCCTTTACACAATAATATCACCCAATTAGTTTTTATTGTACCGAATTTGGAGTTTATTCCTTCTCAGTAAGGTCTATAATAATTTTTTACGAAGTCAGAAAAATATTATTTACTTAACACAAATATAACTAAAAATTACAATTTTGGGGTAGGTTTCAAAATTTTTAAAACTAACTAACTTTTGTAACGCTAAGCGGTACTTTTTCCAGCACTTGCTCACAACATAACTGGTAAATTCATAAAATATTTAATAAATTATAGAACAAATTACAAAATTATTATTAGTTTATTTTTACAGTACAAAAATTCAAATTTTAGGGGTAATTTTGTACTATTTCAACCCCCATGAGACCTATTATAACCCATTTCAATGTTATTTGTTAAAATCTTGCTATCTTATGTAAAAACGTTTACATTTAATTATTGTTAAGTCTTAGTTAAATAAGTTAGACAAAACTATGTGTCATTTTTACCTTTTTTTTAATTTTGAAGGTCAGTTTCAACCCTCTCCACACCTTTTTTCGGGTCGGGACCATTTTTCTGGTATTCCTTATGCGTTCACCTATAATTTAAACAAAAAATCATGTCGATCGTCCACAGCAGCTGGCGCTATTTTATTTATGTACAAAAAAGTCCATTTTAACGTACTGCGGGTCGTGGGTTTGATTCCCAGGTGAATGCAGATTTTTCCAGAAATTGTTTTCATTAGGAAAAGTCTTTATGGAACCTTGGCTGTTTCAGGGTGAGTTTTTTCGTCAGAATAATTCCAGTATTGGTTCCTTGCCCTACAGGTCTTTGGGCCTGGGTAAATGCGAAACAGTATTAGGGCTATAGGTAGGGATTAGTAGATTTGATGCCAGACGTCGGGCAGGGATTGCCGGCCTTAAATGCGAGAAGTGGTCTCTGAAACATATGGCATCTCCGGGGATGCTAATTACCCTGGGGACAATGCTCCGGCAGAGAGCACCAACTTAACTGGCAAGAAGTGGACGTCCTGAAATATAGAGT